CCACCCGGGACCTAAGGTGAGTGACTTCCCGTGGCGGAGCCGCGCAGCGCGTGCCTGAGGCAAGGCGGGGCCGAGGAGACGTTCGCCCGCTCGTCTTACCTCGAAAGAGGACTCCAGCTCATCCACCAAGGTGCTGCTGGCGGGTCTCGGGGCCCCTGGCGCGGCCTGGAGAAGCGAAGCCTGGCCCGGCAGACCCGGAGCGGGGGCCAAGGGCCCTGGCGGCTGCCCGGTGAACATCCCACCCAGCGGAGCCGCCATGCTGGCAGGGACCCGGAAGAGACCCACTGCGCACGCGCGGGCCCGGCTCGCCGGGCGGGTCACGTGACGCGGGTCACGTGAGGGGCTCGGCCTCCTGGTCCCTCGGGCGCCGTGGGGAGTGGCTCATAGCTCCACTTCCGTTTCTCTCCTTCCAGCGCAGAAGCTGCCCGGCGCTTGTTGGACTTTCCTTGAAAATTGAAGCTTTCGAGTAGATTTGACGGGATTATATGAAGAAGAAAATGAAAAACTGCGATGGAGTGGCCCTACCGCGATGGGTTCGAATTGCGGGTCTTGTGTTTAGCAGCCCAGCCACTGTGGGCGCTTTGGTGGAGTAGTGGGGTACATGTTGCGCCACAAAACAACATGGAGGTTTTTGTTCCCGTAAAGGTTTACAGCCTCGGAAACCTGAAGGAGGCAGTTCTATTCTATCCCACAGGGTCCTTATGAGAATCTATAGAATGGCAGTCAATGGCAGTGAGATTTTTCAGGAAAACCGAGGCTTGCTTCTGTGGGTAATCTTTTATATCTCAAAAGTGATGGAAAAGCACACCCTATCTCTGGTGGCACAGTGTGTTAGCATTGCGCTGCTCTCCACAAGGTCAGTAGTTTGAATCCACCTCTGCCAGGGGAAATATCTATGCTCACTCCCTACCCCTACCGATTTGAATTCTAATAAATACTATGAATATGCAGAGCCTTTTGTGGAAACCAACGTCCAGACCTTAAATAAACTTAGTCATGAACTACGAAACACTGGATTAAAATGGGGTGAAGCTGCATTTGGTGGAGCCCCTCCTTGTACTCCTTCTTAGCCCCCATATTAGGGCCCATAATTTTAGTTACAATTTTGCTTCTAATTGCCCCCTGCCTTATCCAG